GGAGGCGCCTCCCCGCCCTGTCCCGGTCCTCTGCCCACCCACGCCCTCCCATCCGCTGTCTCCCTCCCACCTCTGTGCCCACTCAGAGCCAACAACGTCTCCTTCCGGGCCCTTCCAGCTGGTCCCTTCGCTGTCCTCTCGGCCCCGCCCACCCCAGCCAACTCTCCCCGTGGCAAAAAGAAGCCACCCACATCGCCGCCCAGAGTCCTGTGGCTGCCTTCCCGCAAAGCCCAGGGGGGTGGCCACATGCCTGGCTCCCACCGTCTCCCTCTCCATTCGAATGTCACCTCCTCAGAGAGGCCGCTGCCCCATTCTAAGTCCCAACGCTACCCCCCCCCACCACCGCCACCTCTGTCCCTGACTCTGCTTCATCTCTATGATGGGAGGTTCCAAACGCGCACACACAGGACAGTGTGGGACGCCCTGTGGGTGCCCCGCCCACGTATCTCAGCACCCTCTAAGAGGTAAGGACCCTTCGTACACACAACACACTACTATTGTCACACCTGAAGAAAGCAGGAAGTCGCCAGCGTCACAGGACCTGGGGGACGTCCGCAGCTGCATGGGCACCGAGGGCTGGTTGCAGACGCCCAGGCGGTGACGACTTAAGGCGACCGCTTGATGTTTCTCTGACGTCTCTTTCAACCTGGGGTCCCCTCTGCCTTCTTTGGCCTTTGAGATCCGTATGTGAGGATGTTGGTGACCTGCGGGCCCTCCTCAGGGGTCGGGCTGGCGGTGCCCCCAGGCCCCTGTGACCTTGCGTGTTTTACGGAGTGATTTTTGTCCCTTGTCTGGAACCCCCACGAGAGCAGAGAGCTTTCTTCTGTGACCGCCCCAGCACCTAGAGTGAGCGGGGCCACCAGAGCTGGGAGCGGGCCCATGGCGGGGGCTGACCAGCACTCTGTCCCCCAGGTGACCCAGCTGAGGGTGTTCGTGTCCGTGTTGGACGTCAACGACAACCCCCCTGTGTTCCCCTTTGAGGTCAAGGTGGAGAAGGTGCCAGAGGTGAGTGTGAGGGACAGCGAGGGGCCGAGGGCAGAGGGCTAGTGGGAACCTCGGCCTTGTGGATGGGTCCATGGGGGCCCAGGGCATGGCCAGACTGAGCCTGCTTTGTCCCCTAGGACACGAAAGTGAACACCACTGTCATCCCTGAGTCAGAGCTGGAGGCCCAGGACCAGGACAAAGATGACACCTTGTTCTATACGCTCCAGGAAGTGACCCCGGTCAGAATCTGCAGCCACGACCCCGACTCCAGCCCTCCCTCTGGGCGCCCCCACCCTCCGCGTGTTCCCAGGGTCTCAGGCTGTGCCCCCCGTCTCCCTAGGGAGCCAGTAGCTTCTTCTCCTTGGTGGGTGTGAACCGCCCTGCCCTGCAGCTGGACCAGCCACTGGCCTTCAACAGGTTGCCAAACATGACCTTCCATCTGCTGGTGCGGGTATGCAAGCCACTCTCACCCGAGGCAGACCCTCAAGTCCCCTCCGAGCGGGCCCGGCCCTGCTCCCGGGCTGACTGGGGGGCTCGGCCGTTGCAGGACACTCAGGAGGAGGACGCAGTGCCCAGCCACACGGCGCAGGCCACCTTGGTCCTGGAGGTGCAGCCAGCCGACCTGCGGCCCCCCTGGTTCTTGCCTTGTGTCTACTCGGACCTCTATGTCTGTGTCCAGGCCCAGTACTACGGGGCCATCCCCACGGGCCACAAACTGGTACCGGGGACAGGGAGCGGCAGGGCCAGCTCTGGGAGGCTTGGGGTTGGCACTAGGGTCGGGGGCTGGGTGCCACAGGCCCAATTCTGTCGGGATTTTCAAACAAATATGAACGTTCCTGTCCCACCCCATGGCAGGGAGCGGGGAGCCAAGTCCTCTGAAGTCGGAGTGAGGGGCAAGCCCACCGCCAGTGTGGCGGTTTTGGATGTGGGGGGATTGATGGGGCCACACGGCGCTCCCCGGAGGCGGCTGCCTCTCTGACCGCTGACCATCCCTGCTGGACCGTGGCGGGGCGCGGTGAGGCACGGGAGGACGGGGGTCCAGACCTCCGCTGGGCTGCTCGCTGCCCCGGTCACGGCCTCCTGAGACAAGCATCACTCAGATCGATCAATCGGCTCACCATGGGTCTTAGGGGGTGTGATAGGCGCCTGTGCTGGACAGCTGCACTGTCCTTGGCGGGTCCACCTGGAGGGGGCATTGCAGGCCTGCTTTAGCGGAGTGGGAAGGGCCGGTGGGGCCCTCACACCAGCCCCACAGCGTTCCTGCCCCCCGGATCCCCACAGCCGAACCCCCTCATCCTGCGACCGGGGCCCATCTATGCCGTGGATGGGGACACGGGCATCAACCAGCGCATCATCTACAGCCTCATGAGGGGTGAGTGAGGCCACTGCCTCTCTCCTCACGCCAGGCCCCACCCCCGTCCCCGCCTTGGGCTGAGGAGGCCCCAGGGGACCTGCTACGTGGCAGAGCCAGCTGGGACCCTAGACCTCGGGCCCCAGAGGGAATGGGCCAAACCTTCTCGCCATCCTCCCAGGGAACGAGGACGGCATTTTCGTCATCGACGCCGACTCCGGCAACCTCACCATGACCAAGAGCGTTCCCAGTCCAAAGACCTTCCTTTTGCTGGTCAAGGTGGGTCTCCTGGCCAGGTCTCCATGGGCCCTCCCTGATCCCCAGGCTGCAGGGCTGACCCTTCGTGGACCACTGGTCGTGTTGCTTCCCCACCCCAGGGCGATCAGGAGGACCACGCCCGCTACTCGGTAACCCAGGTCACAGTGGAGGCCTACAACGCCTCTGAGAGCCTGCCGCGCTTCCCTGCCAGCCTGTACCGTGGCACCGTGGCTCTGGGCTCGGCCCTCGGCACGGTCGTCCAGGATGCAGCTGAGCCCTCCCTGCCTCTGAGGGTCTGGGCCCAGGACCCCGAATTTCCGGTGGGCACTGCTGGTCCCTGGGTCTGCCTGGCCTCCCTCCATGGGTGGGTGGGGGGTTATGAGGGAAGCCTGGGCCAGGGCTCACCGAAACTGTGTCCAGGACCTCAACTCAGCCATCACGTATCGAATCACCAACAACTCGGACTTTCGGATGAGCGGGGAGGCCGTGCTGACTGCGGCTCCGCTGACGCAGCTGGCAGTCTTCTATGCAGAGGTGAGGGGCGGGTGGCACCTCTGGGGATAGGAGGTTGGGGGAACCTAGGAGGGACAGCCTTCTTCCTGTCCCAGGTTGAGGCCACCAACACGGTGACATCAGGCACAGCGACCACAGTCGTGGAGATTCATGTCTCAGAGCAGGAGCCCACCTCCACAGGTGAACCTCCGGGGCTGGCAGACCCTCAGGGAGGGCTTCTAGCCACAGGCATGCTGGGGCAGAGGCCAGCCTGAGCTGTGTCCCTTGTCCCCACATCCCCAGTGGCCGGAGGAACAACCAGGTCCTTGAGCAGCACCACTTCAGAAGCCCCCAGGTCCCCTGGGCCTTCTCGGGCACCCTCCACCACCAGCTCTGGGGGCAGCACTGGCCCAAATCCACCCTCAGGCACGACTCTGAGGCCACCTGCCTCATCCACGCCTGGGGCCCCCCCCAGTGCAGGAACCAGCAACACCCCCCCATCAGCCTCGCCCAGCAGGGGGTCAGCACAGACCCCGAAGCCAGGAACTTCTCAGCCGGTGCAGCCCGATAGGACCCCCGGGTCCTCAGGTAGCACCCTACTTGTCCGTGCTTCCTGACTCACGGTGGCAGGCGGTCCTGGGAGTTACTCTAGGGCAGGGTCCACCCCAGGCTGGCCCATGCCGACCATAGAATTTGGGGAATGGGGTGCTTCGGTCTAAGCAGAGACAGACAGGTCCTGCTCCCCCCAGGAGGCAAACTGAGGAAAGTGTGGGGGCCGCTGGGCAGGGACCCAGTAAATCCCCCAGTTCCCGGGCTGCCCATCCCACTGGCCCCAGCACCGCCCCCACCTCCCTTCCTGGGCTGTTGGGCCCGTCTCCCACCTGGAGCTGGTGGGCACAGATCCCATCCCTCCCCCTCCTCCCCCGTCTGGCCTCTCCAGGGGTCCCTGGGAACAAACAGGAGGCACCCGCCTGGCTCGTTAGCAGGGTGTCCTCAGCCTGGTGTAGGTTGGCATGGAAAGTGCTTGGGTGCTGAGCTAACATTTGTGGTGGCGTCAGGTACAGAGACGACGGCGAACACAGGGAGCACTGCGGAGAATAACAAGCCAAGCATCAGCCATGCTGAGGACAAGCGCTTCTCAGTAGTGGACATGGCGGCCTTGGGCGGGGTGCTGGGCGCACTGTTGCTGCTGGCTCTGATTGCCCTGGTGACCCTCATCCACAAGCACTACAGCTCCCAATTCAAGTGCTGCTCTGGCAAAGCTCTGGTGAGGCCTTGGGGGTGGGGGACAGGCCAGGAGAGGGACACATGGAGAGAGAGGGACCAGACGGAGGGGGCAGCGGGGCGGAGGGGGCAGGGGGGCCGAGGTGGCTGGGGGTTGGACCCCGGGGCAGATGAGGTGTAGACACCAGAGCTGCACAGAGGGGCGGGGACAGAGAGAGGCAGGGAGAGGTTGGTCTGAGCGCAAGCGGTGATCGGTTTGATGCCCCGGCTCCCCCACCTGCTCCCCAGGAGCCCCAGCCCGGCGGCTTTGACGACAAGGCCTTCCTCGTGGACCCTGACGCCAACTGGACCCCGGCCGCCAGCCCCTCCCCCAGCCGCGCCCCGTCCGCGGCCCCG